ATCAAGCAAATCAGTTGAGTTTGTCTTTTTATTTTGTAAGTCGATCCATCCACTGGCACTGGTCTGAGTCGCAGTGTATGCCTTTCGCTTCGGCTCGCTCGCTACAGTTGTTTACAAAACGATGAATATCTCACACAACTTTCATTTTGGATCAATCGTGAATTCAATAGAGCACCCGCAGCCATTCTCCAAGTCCGATCGTGATCTGCCTTGACTCAATTCGAACAAACATTTCAAAAAAAAAGATTCACTCGCACCGCACAACATCCATCCCAAGCTTCAGTCCCCCTTGATCCCCAACGTATGTACAGTCGATTGCAGAAAGTTTGGAAACTTTTGCCCGCCAAACTTGAGCAGATTGGCGCGGAATTCTTTTTTCATAAAGGTTGAAATCGAGAATTTTTCAAAATCAGCAGATGGCCCGTGCGCCTGGCAGTAAAGCTGTGACAGGTGTCATACTTACCTGCCAGATAGAACAAAATACATCGTAAAGCTGTGATGTTGAACTTCAAAGGTCCTTCTTCCTCACTGATTCGGTGGCGTACAAGCGGTAGAGAATTGCATCTTGCACGTGACTCTTTGTTTGCAATTGCATGTTCGAGTCCTTGTGCTCCTTTTTATTCCATACTTTACACTTTTTTTGGGTCAAGATCGCTAACAACATCCTGAAGGCAAAAAAACAACACAAATCCAGGTGTTACTTTGCTGACTGTTTTGTTTCATCACATCAGACGAACATAAAAAAAGCATTTAAAAGGGATGGCATACCAAAAGTCAGTCTTGAACCGAGGACATGGCAAGCTGACCACAAAGCAGAATGCCACACAGCGGTGTCACCAACTGCACCATTACAATTTTGAGGTCAGTGCATGTTTTGTTGATTCAGCATCATTGATTTCTATGTACAGTCAACTCTCTCTAAGTTGATGTCTCTTTAAGTGCATAATTCTTTATGTGCATAAGAATTTTTTCCGCCATTTTTGGCGGCACCAAAACCAAGTGTCAACTGCATAAAATCCCTTAACTGCATACTGCATAAGATTTTGAGCCGCCATAAGTCCATATAGGTGCATAAATTCTATGTAAAATTTGATTTCTCTCAGGTTCTGCCTGATTCTGCACGTCTCCACAATCCCACCAAACCTTCAAAGCTTCCATACTTCACACTCCAAACAATGCCCAACAAATCAACAAGAAGGTTTGGAGTTGATCCAGTCCAATATGAAACCGAGAATCCTCCACATGCTATCCGTGTAGGAAACATCCTTTACCTTTCAAATTCTGATCTTCCTCTCTCAAAAATTGAAGCCGAAAGCATGGCTACGGAAGAGTTCGAGATTGATCAACTTCAGACTGGTCTCAAATCATTGAAAGCCAGCTGCGACAAGAAAATCTCCGATCTCACTCAACACCAAAATCGAGGTGAAACTCTTTCTGCTGAAGATGAAGAATGGCTTGATCAGAACGGAAATCTTATTACCGGGCAACTTGTAATCAATGAAATCCTCAACCTTAATGAGAACTCCAGCCAATGTCTCAGTCGCTCCCAGTTTGATGCCATCATGGTTCTTTCCGAGGGCTATGAACAACACAAGCTTGATCAGAAAGTAGAAAATCAATCAAATAAAAGAAAAAGAAACTCACCCCAGCCAAATTCGAAGCCAACAAAGCTCAAAGGTGTAAAGAAATCAAAAGGGACGTCAACCAAAATCTGCTCGGCCACGATTTCTCAGAAGCTCCAGATTCTCGACTGGTTCCATGCAAATGGAGAAAGCCAGAAGAAAACAGTCGAGCACTTTAGTTTACACTTACCCGATCTCAACTTGAAGCAACCAACACTCAGCCGATGGATTGGCTCTGAGGTCAAGATCCGCGAGACTGCTCCAGTCAACTCACAAACAGCTCTTCGAGTCCGACCAGTGAAGCATTCTGACATTGAGACAATGCTTGAACAATGGCTTGACGAGGCTTACGCTGCTGGAGTCATCATTACGGGTGAGGTAATCAAAGCTCAATGGAAGGACTTTGCTCGTAAAAAGAACCTCCCCGAAGATCAATGGCTTCGGGTGAGTGATGGATGGCTCACCCAATTCAAAACTCGACACAACATCCAGCTCTACACTAACCATGGCGAAGCTGGGTCAGTTGACATGGCGACTGTCGAAGATGAAATCAAACGGGTTCAAGATATCAATTGAGAATTTAATCACTCAGACATATACAATATGGATGAGACTGCATTGTTTTATGCGTAAGTTTTGTTTTTAACATCCTTTCTTCATATGTCCTCATCATCATTGTTTTGTTCTTTTAGCATGCCACCTGATCGAGGTCTGGCGAAGGAGGGCAAATCTGGAGTGAAAGGGGTTAAAGCTCGGATCACGATCGTAGTCACCACCAATGCTGATGGATCCGACAAACGACACCTTACTTTCATTGGTCACGCCCGTCATCCACAGCCTTTCAAGAGGAAAGGGGGTCGTGAGGCTCATAACCTTGATTATCACTGGAACTCGAAGGCTTGGATGACTAGCTCTATCTTTGCCGAGTGGATTTATGAGTGGGACCGCAATCTAGCTGTAGAGAAGAGAAACATAATCCTATGGGTCGATAACTTCTCTGGACACGTTGTTCCAGAAGGATCTCTCAAGAATATCCGACTTGAAAAGTTCAAGCCCAATCTAACCTCTCACATCCAGCCATGCGATGCTGGGATAATCCGAACGTTCAAAGCTCATTATCGAAAACGGTTCATCAATCGATTGATTTGAAACTTTTTGCAAGGCATGCGTGGTGCCGAGATATACAAAATCAACATATTACAAGCCATGAAGATGGCTAAACATGCTTGGAACTTGGTTTCATCAAACACTATCAAGCACTGCTGGGCTCATACAAAAGTAATTTCCATCGATGGAAACTTTTCTATGTAAGCCTTCAATCCTTTCTTCTTTACCCAATCATATCAATGCTTTAATTCACTGAATATCGCTCGGTCTCGATCTCTTCCAAAAGCAAGGAGACTCACTCGGAGATCGAAGAAGGTTTAAGAAATTTACAAGCAATTGGCGCTCTCTCATCATCGAACACAATCTCACTAGAGAACATTATTCAATCCATAGACAAGATTGAGATTTCACACGAGGTCTCATCAACAGAAGATATCTTCAATGAATACTGTCTTAACCACAAGGAATCTGAACCCGAAGAGAATCCATCAGAACTCAAACCCGCTCCCACACCTCAAGATGCTATGAAAGCAATGTCGACTCTGTTTCGCTTCATTGAAACACAAGACTGTGTTGAGGCAGATGATTGTGATGCCCCTTTGCACAAGCTTGAAAGATACATCAAGACTCAAATCTTTCATTCTTTCTCAAAACAAACTGACCTCACCGATTTTTTCCAAATACATCACAACAACAAATGATTTCCTGTAGTGAACCTTATGCAATATTTTTGTTTTTCTTTTTATGCAAACCTTTTTCATGTGGTTGAAATGGATTCTATGTGACACAATGTCTCTCTCTCTGCTGCGATTTCTTTGATAAAGAAGTGCACATCATATCCCTCTATCTGCAAATTTCCATGCAGTTAGAGGGCATATTCCTCTAACTGCAACATTTCATGCAGTTAGAGGGTATGCATACTATCATGCACTTAGAGAGAAGAGCTCCGTAAGTGAATATTCCTCTAAGTGCATAACATTTCCACCCGCACATGTGTATGCACTTAGAGAGAGTTGACTGTATTTTGTGCGATCTGGCAGGTAAGTTTGACACCTGTCACAACTTTACTGCCAGGCGCACGGGCCATCTGCTGATTTTGAAAAATTCTTGATTTCAACCTTGATGAAATCTACTGTATGTACTGTCATATTCAAAAAGCTGGTCCAGTAGAGCAATTTGGCTTGGAAATCTTGGCAAGCCTTGTGAAATTGACAGTCTACATTTGAACACACCTATCATCCAGCTCATGCTCTGTGTTAAACCCCAATCCATAGCCTGTTACAAATCCAATTCACTGTGATTTCACAAGAGTCATAAGCACACAAGCAGCACTGAGGTAAAAACAGTGATCACTTACATCTGAAGTAAGCTTAATCTGCATAATTGTTCTGCTGTCAAGATGGATGGGGTACATACTTGCATAGCTCTACAAAGCCAGCTATAAGTCTACATATGCCAATTGTCCCATCATAAAAGGCCAAGCACCAAGTTCAAAACTTGAGCAATGCAGGACCACACCCAGCCTTTACCTGAGCTTCAGATTGTCAAGCATTTAGGCCTCATTTTTGCTTAGCAATACACCCACCATTTCTGTATCTGTGTGCAAAGGTTTTTGGATTAAACTCAGAACAGCTTGTCTTGCCTTCAGCCTCTTAGACTACTGTTGAGATGCCTTTGTCAATAGACATTTGAAGATGAGAGGCTATCTGACTTCTAGATACATCCCCAGGGGAAGGGATATGTTTTTGCTTTATAGATTTTGCAAGTCTTTGTAAGCATGTGTTTTTCGAACTAAATTGGCATCTTATAGTTTTGTCAACTTCAAGGTATCATTTCTAACCTGCGAGGTGTTGAGAAATGTGTCTGTTGATCAAATCTTTGAATGTAAGTTCTTGTTGATCTTTTTGCTAAAAGCTCTCTTTTTACAGTTTGATCCTCTAAAGCTTTGAATGCTTCAGTGTGTAGATTGCTTCCAAAATTGGCCAGAGCTCCCAGCCAATCAATAGTAAGCTTGTTAGGACCTGGCGCATGGGTTCTTCTCTTGCAGGGAAACAAAGGAAAGGACCAAGCAATCTGGGTTGTTATTAAGATTTTCATATGAAGAGAAAGCTATACAAGTAATGTGATACAACTTATAAAAACATCTCTTTTGGGCATGTGACTTCTCTTTCACAGATGTTACATTTGTGGAGTTGCAACAGGGCTTCACAAAATACAGTCAATTGCAAAAAGATTGAAATCAAGGCGTTTTGAAAATTGAGAGGTGGGCTGTGTACCACCTGTGAAAGGTATCCAACTTACTTGCTAGTCCTGCATGAAATATGTTCTTCACCCCCTCTTGTAAATGGCTAACAACACCGTCTACCTAATATGTTTGTGCGTAAGGTAAGCACACTTCTCCTAGCTCCACAAGTAATGCAGACTTGGT